GCAAAAATAAAAGTTTTCATTTTACACTGCACAATTTAGAGAAAGACAGTTTCTCCAGCTTTGCGTTAATGAAGCCAAAATTGGAAAGTCCATTTCAAATGTTTTTTTTCCCCCATCCATTTCTGTATCTCCTTAAAGCCTTGATGTATAAGAAGGAAAAGGTGATTATATACCTGTACAGATTTCGATTGAAGCTATTATGATTGTGCAAAGACAACAGGCCTGCGAACTTCACAACTTTAAAGCATCCTCTGTTTGCTAGTACTCTTTTCAGCTTTTTTTATTTGTTACAGTTGTATTTATGGTAAGAATGTACATTACTAACACTAGAAGTCCTACTTTTAGTAAAGGTTACATGTAAACTCCACACAGACCAAGACATAAATCGTTTTAAAGAGAACTACCAATTTATTTGGCACTTCAGACACACCGTATGACAAAACATTACCCCAACCTGTAGCAGTTTACAATCTGGGTACAAAAAGTTATAACAGACAGATGTAAGGAGATAGACAACTGCAGTAAATGGGAAGGCTGAATGTATATGGTAGATTCCATATGTGTGCGTAAGAGGAAGTTACTTTTCAACACACACTTTTTATTTCACGGGATTGTTTTGGGGTTTTTTGGTTGATTGTTGTGTTTTTTTCTTTTTTATAATTCCAAAGAAATGGACTTCTGATTTCTTTTAATTAAAAGTTGTTCCAGAAATGGTGGATACGGGATTAGGAATTTACTGAAGAAAATCTAATTGAATAAAAGGAGTTTTGAGGCAAAGTCCTAAGAAAATTGTGGATGTGCATATAAAAAAGCTGCACGCAGAGGGATGAATCCAGTTTCTCTCCACTCCGGTGGTGATACGAAGCTACTGCAGAGGTGGAAAGAGACTGAGAATAAGGAATTAACCAGTTAAGCTCCTGGGAAGCAAATACTGAAATTAAAATGGGCCTTCACATCCTATCCTAAATCATGTATCGATACTGCAACGTTATTTTCGAATTCATATCATTTCTAGACCATGTAGGTGATCAATTTTAAGCGTTTTGTCATAAATTTGAAGTATTATGTATAGTTGTAGCTAAGAAGTCCAGTAACATCCTGGGGCCGCCAACAGGTCAGGTGAGGTGATCTCTTCCCTCTGCTCAGCACTGGTGAGCCCACACCTGAAGTGTCATGTCCAGTTGTGGGCTCCCCAGTACATGGACATACTGCAGCAGATGCACTGCAGGGCTACAAAGACAACTGAAGGACTGCAGCACCTCTCATAACGAGAGCAAGACAGGTGGCATTATTTAGCCTGGAAAAGAGAAGGCTCAGGAAGATCTTACCAAAATGTATAAATATCTGATGGGAGAATGTAAAGTAGACAGTGCCAGACTCTTCTCAGTGGCATCCTGTGACAGGACAAGAGGCAATGGGCACAAACTGAAACACAGGAAATTCCATCTGAGCATAAGAAAACACTTTTTTACTCTGAGGGTGGTTGAACACTGCAAGAGGTTGCCCAGAGAGGTTGTACAGTGTTCATTCTTGGGAGTTATTCAAAACCCAACCCAACAGTCCTGGGCAACCTGCTCTAGGTGAACCTGCTCTGAGCAGACCAGGTGGACTAGATGATTTCCAGAGGTGCCTTCCAACCTCAGCAACTCTGTGATCTTGTGATTTCCTGCAACTTCTCAGAAAAAGGACAGAGCAATCTATGTGGAGAGGGGTCCTGCTATACAGTCTTATTGTGGTTTATTTCAAGTGTGAAATACAGAATTGCCTTCAAGAATGAGTAACTGGTAGTTTAAGTGCTTTCATATTTTACCTTGAACATTTTCTCTCCCTTGTGTTTTCCTAAGGAATGCAAATGTGAGTTGTTCTATGATAAAAAACCTGGTTTTGAAGCCGATTCAGAAAGGCAAGATAGAAAAATGCCTCCAGTAAATGAAGATGTATTAAAGATTGCTCCCTTTGCTTGGTCTTACCCATGAAGTCTGAGAATCCATGGAAGCTCTCATCATCAACCCTGCAGGCTTCCATCAGGCTACTGAAGAGGGTGCCAATGGGGTCCAAAGGGTGTCCCACCCAACCTTCAAGATTTGTTATTGAGGTTACTCCTCTGTGGAGAAGTTCTGTGACAGAAAAGACAGAGGGAGGAAGGAGGTAAAGAGAGCACGTTAGCCTCTCAAAACAATTCTAGAAGTAAAACTGATTAAAATGCTCCCAGTTCAGAATTCAAAGTATTTCCAGTAGCTTCTGCTTAGAAGGAGAAAATAGTTTATTTCAGGGTGAATTCATTGCCCTTTGTGAAAACGTTAAAAGAGGAAAAAAAGAAAAAGAACAAAGGCCAAACATTTTGAGCACTAGCAAAGCATATTATCAGTCAAAAAATTCAACTGCAGTGTCTTTTGAAAACTCTTACCCAATACCAGTAAGTCTTCTGAAGATATCTGCTGCAAAATTACAAAGACTTTTTTTGGTAAAATATTCATAACAGTTTCCTCACTCAAAAAGATGCAGTACCATATTTACATTTTAAGTTAAGCTGATGGCACTGAAATAAATTAAAATATTCTAAAACGTGTCAATTTCATAAATCAAATACGAGCTTATCCTGCATCTAAATATTTATTGAAGTAATAAACTCAGGATGACACTTCCTTTCCAAAAAAAAAAAGTTTAAATGAGGTATACAAGAAAAAAATTGTCCTTTAAGTGGATCAACTGCGTTTTTTGTCATTCTAAAATTTCAGTCAATAAATACCTTCGCAGATACCTTATTTTGTAGCCCTTACCCATCATTTGGTTAGAACATGAAAAAATTGTTCAGCACAGTGAACTGAAGGAAGTGTGGTTGTGGTAACAGATGTTGGAGATTCCCCAAATCACTTTTTTTACTAGAAGTCTTATGGCAACAGCTCCCCCTTGACTCCAACTCCCAACATTTTTCCTCCTAGACACACACACACATGACTGAACTATGAGAGATCAGACACATTACAGGTGACCATTTAAAAACCATATGAAAGCCATTATGGATGCTCTGTTTCTTTCTGAGTAACCATATGTATTATCACAACGCTTCTAAATTCTGCTTCTTGCCTATTTAAATGAAACACAGCCACACAGTCAAGAGGGTGGGGGTTTTTTTTAAAGAATCCACTGATATGTAACATGAAAAACAAAGTAAATCATCGTCTTCCTAACAAATACCATGTACTAAAGATGACAGACTTACAGGCAGAAGCAATTAATATTACCAGAAAGGATTAATCACAGTGACTTCTTACTGACTCACTTACGTTCTATTTATTCTATTGTGCCTACTTATGAGCTTCACTCGTGTCATACCAAACAAAGGCTTCAGTCCTCCAGTCATATAGACATGTAACTTTAAATCACACAAGTGGTTCCACGGACATCAGATCAGTCAGATGAATAAAAGCTAAGTATAAGCATGTGGTGTTTGCTGAACTAAAACCTAAAGGTGGGCTGTAGCTGCAGAATTCATCTGCTTACAGAGGCCAGCATATTTTGAGGTATTAGAAGAGTGTTTTTAAACAATTCCACACATAAGAGGAAAAAAATGAAAAAGCTGTGACAATATAGAAACAATGAACTTCCTTGTTTCGGGGTAGGATGGATCGCATTTCATATATTCAATTTTTTATTTACAATAGCATAATATTAGTTGGCAGCTACAGAAACTGCCCACAGGGAAAGGAACTTCACAGAAGTCTTGAATGTTTAGATACTGCGTTAGCAACTGGAATAGAAAAGAAGTAGTACCACGTCCAATACACTTGCAGCAGACACACCGACATAGGACCCTCCCTTCTTACCCCTGCAATCGCAGAAGCTAGAAAAGCTACAAAGTTTTTAAGGGAACACTTGTTAAGGAAAATTACATTACATGATAAAAAGACTTAGAAAATTCCCTGAAGTAATAGTAAGAAGTGCTTTTGAGTTTTGTTCAAATCTAGAATCCACAATAGTGCCCCAAAAAAACACCTTCCTTGGGTACCATGGGAAAAACAGAGGCACATAGGAACTGCCAACTAATTTTTTTTTTCAGACAGGTGTCTACCTTGTCTAATAGATGCTTATTTCTGGGAAAATATCTGCACACACACTTGAAATATTTACACATATGACTTCACACTAACCTACAACACATAAGTTACAAGTGATACTGAAGACCTAAAATAAAATTTGAATTAAGGGATTCTTGTAGCAGCTAAGAAAGTAATTTCAGTTTTTCCATGTGCATTATTTAACTACAAAGCCATCCTCTTCTTCCACTGTCTCTTCAAACTAACAAAGTTCAGTGCCAGATTATTTTGGGTAGCAAGGATCACATGGCATACAAACTGTACCTGAAGGAGAACGTTCCTTCAAAAAAAACAGGAGTCAGTGCTCAGAGGAACACCACAGAACATTTTCTAAAAACCAGTGTTCCAAAAACCGAAAAAAGTAATCCACCTCTATTCAGAAACACTAAAACTTTAAGCATTGTAAGAGACTCTTTTGGAACAAACTGAGAAATTTGATGACTTTCTGTAATGCAGACCGTGCCTCATTGTTACCCTCAATGGCAACTTTAGGCTTCCGTCTCAGAAATATACAGTTCAGCTAAATTATATGTCAGAGAAAAAAAATTTGTCACCTGACATGCCAAATGCAAAGCTGTTTAAAAGTCTGTAAGTTGCACAAGGTGAGTATTAGTACTGTGTAACCAAAACCCCTGATTGGGATACAGGCCCCACCATGCCAGACATACTGCAGAAGGCAGAACAGAGTCCTCGCCCTGCACAGTTCACAGCCCATCTTGACATCCAGAATGTGACATTACCACTATGATCCTTCAGACCGAACATTTAAAGTCATCTCTTTGACTTTAGTTTCAAAACCAGTTTTCTCAAACAACGTTCCAGACTGGTGTTAATTGTCACCTCACACATCCTTTGCCCTCCTCTCTTCCCCACATTTACCTTTCTTCTGAGCCCGGAACATTTCCAGCTGTTTCTGCTGCTGCCTTCTTAGTGTATTAACAATAGCTATTGCTAGCCTCAGTGCTTCTCGTGGATATCCATGAGATCGTAATGCGTCCACTCTCGCACAGGCTGTAGGAACATGTTCTAAAACGGAGAAGATAATTGAGAAATAGCAATGCTTCCATGTCTGCAATAGCCTGTTTTGCTAGCTTACTCAAAAGGGCTTTTTAGTTGGGGGTTTTTGTTGTTGTTTTTAAAACTATGCAATAGAGACTTCAAGAACTACTGCGCCAGCATTTCAAGGGAGCCTCTGTTCTTTTTGCCAGGCTTTTCATTCAGCTCCCCACCATCCCCCCCAAAATAATGCCATAGAAAATGAACAATGCAGCAAGTCATGGAAACGTCTTTCCGGTTTAGCCACTTACCATGCCAGAGGGGCCACCCCTGAGAGTCAAAGAGCAAGTTTTCAGTGTCGTCATGGTAACAGTAGTTGGTGTATAGGTCACTGCTGATAATGTGCTGTAAGTGGCTGTCCTGCCAGTGCAGATCGCATGCCTCAATGGCTCGAGTAAACACTGTCCGATGTGGCCTGTTCGATGAATCTGTCATTTTCACAAGTTCAGAAAGCTGCATCAGCTTTTGCTCAATTCATATGTGAATCAGTCATTCACTGTATTCTTGTCTTCTGCCTATTCACCAACCCCCAATGGGTAGCAACCTGCCTTGCCCCCCTCTGCACCATGCAGCCCGCAAATGACATTTCACATCCTATTATTACCCAACAGCTCAGAAAAAGTGTGTGCCATTCACTTTGCATTCAGAGAGAGAGATCTACAAACCAGCATGGCTGATGCTAAACAGGACTTTGCAGAGGGAACAGCTAGAGATGAAGGACATTCAACAGCATGTACAAATTCCCCTAAAAACAAACTAGAAAGTATATGGCACACAGCTACTCAAGCATCCCCAGCTTCTTTCTTCCTCAGACCCAGAGTAGCCAGGATGAGGGATGGATAAACACCACATGAAAGATTTTTAGTCGTTCTCTTTGAGAAGTGGCATTAACTTTGAGCACTATAGGTTTAAAGACAAAAAATATTATATACAAATACTGTAAAGCAAGTGAGGTACTGAGGCCATGGGACGGACATAATGCTTACTAGACACCTTCATATGCCAAAATCGCTCTGTTGACATGGCACTATGTCTATAAACATTGAGATGCCATGTCAGAGTTACGACTAGCCTGCCCAGGCTGGGCTGAACATCATGAGATACAGAAAGCTAGACACCTCTGTAGGGAGTTACATGCTGAATGACCTTCTGTTCCCAGCGAGCTGTGAGATCTAAAAATGAATGAAGTGTATTTCCTTCAGAGGTAATCTTCCAAGGAAAAGAAAGAAGGAAAAATTCATCCAAGTCCAAATCTGCCACCTCCCAAGCATTTAATTTTAACTTTATCATAATTATATGAAATATGTACCAAATACTGAAGGTTTTGAGGATTATGAGGGCTTTTTCCCAGCTAAATGTCCTGCATCTTCCTCAATTAGCAAAGCAGCCATCTTTGCTTGAAGAGGACTGGACAAGGCTTTTGTCAGATTTTATAATCACATTTTAGATTAGAAAGCATGATATCAAGTAAGAAAAGACACCTCCTCCAAGAGGGCAGTGTTGCCTCCACACCCCCTACACACCTGGCAATGCAGACTGCACATACAGAGCACATCCCACAGATAGCTGCTTTAGTTTCTCACACACTCAAGTTTAATGCAGTTGCAACACATCTCTCTTTAAATAGGTACCAAAGGCTTTGTAACTGCAAACAAAATAAAAACCCCAACACCAGAATGAATACAAGATTATAGTCAAGCAAAGAAACAACAGGTTTTTACATGGCATACTTCAAGGACATCCAATTTTCATGCAACACATTTAGAAGCATCAAGTGAAAAGTTAGAAGACCTAGCTAAACACAAACACTTGCTTTGAACACATTGCAGCCCCAGCACAAAATAAACCACCTATTTATCCTTTTTGCAAGGATAGTATTAGTGCAAACAATTTTGGTTGGTCAATCTTCACCAAGAAAGTTACTTGTCCCAGGAAAGAATGCTGAATTCTGCAAGGCTAGAGTATGTAAGACAGAGGTTATATTATATGTTGCAGTCAGTGCATATGTTTAGGCTCACCTTGGTTAGCATTTGCACCCTGAGGCAAAGCATTGGTTAAATTGGGCAGCTCGTTTCCATGGTTTCCATCTTCCCAGGGACAAACATCCACACTGTTCCATTTTTTCAGCTGTTTTAGCCAACTGGACTTCTGCTCCAACTTGCAGTGGGGATTTAAGACTATACACATCCACAGAGCACCTGATTTTAAAAAAATTGCTAAATTATGTTTTCTATTAAAATGCAGCAGCCAATGACTAATTGCAAACTTCTCTACTATAACACTTCTGCTCCCCTCAAAGGCTATACTGCTTGCTTTCCAGCTACGCCTAACACCAAGCAGACTGAACTCCCACCACAGGATCTGGGAGCTGGTGTGGCCTATCTGAAGCAGATGAAAGACAGTACCAAGCCAACCTGCTCAATTAAAAGGCATTAAATGGTCCTTTGTGTTAGAAAATCCAGACTTCACAATGTATGGCTCATCAGACAGGAGCATTAAAAGCAAACAAGAATTAACATAAAGTTACAGCAGGAAATTACCCAAGTTTTTCTTCTAATTTTTGTACCAGAAGCAAATATTGTTTTCTATGAACAAGAACTACGTATCGTCCAGCTTCACATTACACAAGTGCACTAGTAAGACATGTATTTTATAAACATATATTTCCACACTCAGAACCCTGTAGAAGGACTGTTGATCATGTAACTCATTCCCAAACACATCTGGGTCTCAGAGACCCAGTAAACACTGGTTTTGTGAAGTCTAACAGCAGTAAGATATTTTTACTGCAACTACTTCAGTAATTTGGTTACACTAGAAAATTTGTTTTACATTTTCTGTTTACGGAGCTCAAAGGGGAAGCTAATTTCTGCTGACATTTGACAGATACCATCACTTTGGAACCTGCTCCCTGAGACCATATAGCAGGGCAGGCATAAATACATCAGGGTCTCTAGAAATAATTTTCAAATGGAAAGATTTTTCACTAAATCAGCCATCTCTTCATCAGCATGAACTTTGACAGAAGCACAAAGACATCTGAAAGTACTGTTTAGCAACAGTTCATCTGCTTGTTAAGAATGTGCCTTATACACTACAAGAGATTTAGAGAATACGCTTAAACTAAGCAATCTTCATGACAGGCGGAAAAAAGAAAAGAATAAAAATGCAGCTGGTTCTTCTAGGATAACAAAATTCTCACATTCAAGTATTCTTTTGCTAACTAAGAATGCAAAATGGATACCCAGAGCACAGGCCATTACATTACATTCATTCCTAAAGTAACTCAGTATGTTGGTATGCCACAACACAGAAGCCAGTGGAAACATAGCTTGATCGTTAAGGTTGTAAGCCCCCTGCTATTCAGTCCAACAAGGAATGGGGAAGTAATATCAAAGAAATCTGAAAACCACAACAAAGTATGATAATGCACAGTGCAGAACATCAGAGAGACACTATGCTAATGCAGATTATTACTACACAGTAGTTAAATAGAGTACAGCAAGTGTTTGGGGTTTGTTTGGGGTTTTTTTTGCCTTTTTTTTTTTAGTGTCTGACACTTGCCATAGGAGTGAATAAGGCCAATACTATTTTTAAAAACTTCTTTTCAAATCAAATCATATGACTTTTGGACACACTTGTCAACATGCTTCACTCCTCCAAGTGAGTCAAATTATAGCTTCTTATTATTAAGCATCAATACATTCAGCATTGCCCAAGAAAGAATGACTGCATTTCTTCCAATCTGCAAAACAAAACAGAAAATAGGCCATACAGGAAAGCCTTGGGGAACAGTTAACTTGGGCTTGCTTATTTATTTTAAAAATCAAGTATCACTTGAGGGCACTAAGGAGACACTGTACCTCTCAGCATTTAACAAAAAAAGCCAATGTAATACTTTGTAACCAGATTCCCAGGGTTTCCAGACTGAAGCAAAAGCAAAGGGCTTTTGGTAAGTATTTCAATCATCCAGCAAGGTGGAACACATACTACTGATTACACCATGTCCCTACAAAATGAGTGGCCCTTTTTTTCCCTCACATCTCAGAAATGCCACTAGAGAGGCAAAGGAATTCACTTGCCTTCTTCAGAAGCTCCACTATGCGTGTGGTACATCTGAGAGGCAGAAGAGAGAACACATACCCCAAAGTAACAAAATCCTTTAAAAACTTCTTTGGTTTAAAGAGGGAAACTACGTCAAGCATAACTGCATTGTTGGCAGTGCTTGTCTCAGAAACCCAGGCTATTTTCATGCAAATGAAGCACAAGGACAAGTGTATTTCTAATAAACCCCACACAAACCACTTAAAATTTCAATGGAGCCCAACTGCACCCTGCTCCCAGTGACTCCAGGGAGAGCTGGACGCAGGTCTGAGATCGGGCCTAGCTTTCACGGCTGCCCCAATTCCCCGCAGCAAGAGGGGGGAGACAAAACTCCCCCACCAGAAGAGAACAGAAAGAGCCTCAGGCTCAGCTCCCGTAGTGCCACAAAGGCTACCATCTGGGAGAAGGATGCATAATGCCAACGACCCCACACTATTCAGCCTACTTGCTTTTCTAGGTTTTGTGGCTGGGGTTTTTTCGTGGGGT